TGCTTTGAGCCTATATTCTCTTGCTGTCCCCAAAAACCAGAAAAGAGGGAATTCAGCCCCTGGAAAGCCTCAGGCCCCTCTGGGGCTGGACTACCCAGGCCCCACTGGCATTTTGCAGCTAGACTAAACTGGGCAGAAGGGTGAGGCACAGGGACTATGGGCTGTATAAAAGTTAATAAATAATAATAATAATAGAAGCCTTGAACAACCTTGAAGAGAAGCAAGGTCAGTGGGGGACTGGCAAGAGGCAGGTTTGAAGGCAAAACGGAGGATGGCACCGGAAGCTCTGGTGGGGATGGAAGGGAGGAGCAGGGCTGCTGGAGCGCAGCTTCCAGCTCAGGTCTTGCTCAGATGCTTCTTCTCATGCCAGTTACAGCTCAGGCTCTGGCGCCCTGTTCATCAGAGCTGCTCCAATCCCAACTTTCTCTCTAGCTGCTGGGCCCTCCCTCTACTCCTTCACCTCAGCGCTTGTCCCAGGAGCACATTCCTGACTCACAGCACCCTCCCCTTCTCTCCCCAAAGCCCCCCTTTTCCTGCCTTTTTGACTACCATGTGAACTTCAGGCTGAAGAAACCGGATCCAGAAGAGAAGGGGAGATGGGACAAAAGTCAGGGCGCGGAGAGCAGGCAGGCACCTCGGAGCCAAGCAGGCAAGCCGGGCTGGCTGAGGCTTCCCAGCTGCAGAGGAGAATTAGCTTTTGCCATGCAGAGAGCAGCGCTCTGGGGCAGCAGAACAAAGAGGCGAGAGAGAAAGCCCCCCTTTGTCTAGGTTTGAATGCCAGGCCAGCCGAGGATGAAGGCTTTCCCCGAGCCAGGGATGAGGCCAGCCAGCTCAGCCCAGGGCAGGGGCCCAAACCAGGCATCTTATGCCCACCCAGGCGGCTCCTTTCCCCACATCTCTGCAGGACCCATCGGCAGCCAACAGCTGATGCTAAGATGACTCCCAGCTTTTCCTCCCTTCCCCAACACCCCTATCAGGTAAGAAAGTCACATGCCCCCTGGGAGACTTGCAGCTACCCCATCACCTAAGCAAGTACAGTCAGGCAGTGACAAGTGCATATGCAACTCGAACTGGAAGGTACAGAGCCAGCATGGTACACAGACAGCCTGCACATGTGTGTGCAATTTCTCACACACTTTCCTAACCCCATAGCCACACATGAAACACGTATGTAAGTCAGTCACACGTGGTCCTTCCCAAGAGATACCATGTGAGAGGTATATAACCCTTACTACCTACCCACCCACATGGACACCCATACTCACACACACATACACAACCTGCAGACATGGACGCATAGGCGCCCAGAGCTGCGGGAAGCAGAGCAATCAATAGGGTGAGCATGACAGTAGCCCCGCTGTGTCAGCAAGATCCTGGGGTACGGGGGGGGTTGTTTTATTTTGTTCCGAGGGTAGGGTTGTGGATTTGGGGGGGGGGGGGGGGGGGGGGGGGGCGGGGAGTGGCTGGGGCTTTGCCTAAGGCTCTTGTTCTGTCCCAGGCTAAGGCTCTTGTTCTGTCCCAGGGAGGAAAGCCAAGCCAGCCCCCCACCACCTTTTGAGAAGACCCAGGATGGCCAAGGGCAGACACCCTCAGAACATTCTCTCTCTCTGCTGGCCTCCAAACTCAGTCTACTCTGGGCCAAGAGCAGTGGGTGTGCACTGCCTGAGTCAGGATACAGCCCATCTTTTCTCCCTAGCCCACCCAGAGATAGACACATAGGCAGAGTGCTCCAGCCCCTCTAAGGGACAATGTGAGCCAGATATGTCCACACTCCGGGCAGCTTTGAACCCCAAAGTGGCCCAAACAGTAGGCTCCCCTCCCCTAAGAACACCTCTTCTCAGCTCTGCACCCGGGAGGATTCAAGGAGCAAGGTCCTGGCAACACTTCCAGTGTTGATACAGGGTCCGAGGGATGACAGATGCACACACACCTAAACACATGTACACACCCCTGCAAAGCCCTTTACGCACATACCTGGGCCTCCTCTTGGGTTCTGTCCATGTTGAGGGGGGGTCACGTGGGTGCTGACTCCTACCAGCCCTAGTTAACTCGGATGGACCCCTGAGCTGGGAGGTAGAAGGTGTTTGCCCATCCAGGGCTGCTAGGCTTGAGCCTACCTGGATGTCCCAATCCTGAGCCCCTAGCCCTATCATACTCCCATGGGAAAACACGTTTAGGGCAGAAGCATGTGCCAGAGAGTGATTTGAAGTCCACGTGGTAGGCATCCAGGCCTCAGGCAATATGGCCCACACACTGGTTTCCCTAAGGCAAAGTGGAGCAACGTGACCTGCACAGACTGAGTTCCCCGGAGTCAGTGCCCCAGGCTGGGTGAGGACCAGCTGCCCTCCGGCTGCCTGCCCTCACCACGACAATGGCTCAAGGGCACAGTGGGCGCCTAGGAGCACCAGGGATGGTTCATCTGGGTTTCCTACCTGTAGCCAACTGAGCTGGCACCCCAACCAATCCCATTCAGGGATGGCAGGAGGAAGCACAAGAAGAGACCATATTTTAAGGCCAGTGTTAGGCCTTTGCTTCTGCTCATATATTCTGAGGCGTGTCATTGCAGTTATCCATGGCACCATCAAAGGCCCTTTAAGACAGACTCCCTCCAGCAAGGGAAAAGGGTCCAAGACAAAGGCCTTTCCTCATGTTTGGCCTGGGGTTGGAGGAAGAGGACAGGATTGTTTTTTTCAGCTTCCCTCTGGCTCAACCCTTTCTCCAGGGCAGACCTCCATTCTTTCACATTAAGTCAAACTCACATTTGAATGACACTGGACTGCAACTGAAGAGGTTTCCAACCCCTGGAACACCGGAAAGAATGGAGGTGTAGGAGCCTGAAGGAAGATGAGACTCAAGTCTGCCAGGCCCAGATGCTGAGCACACAGAATTGCACATCTGTCCCTAATGCAAAAGCCACTATTTCTGAGCTTGCCCACACCAGGCACAAGAACACGAACAGGAGAACACACACACACACACACACACACACACACACACACACACACACACAGAGATGCTAACAAAGTTCAGGGCTGCTTCCATCCAGTCTGGAGATCAAGGGCTTGCTGGTTTACCACCTAGTGCTACAGGCAGGAGATAAGTCCATTTGAAGGCAAATACAGACACACATTATACCAAGTGAGGTATAATGCAGTTTTCTGCCCCACTCTAAGACATCCCACACACAGATTTTAGTAGGAGCTGGGCCCCTGGGCAGACACACATCTGTTCAACACCCTGGGTGCTGTCCCTTCGGCTCCATTCAGCCACACTGCCTTCTTTCACCACTGCCAATCCCAGGACAGAGAACGGACAGCTCTCCTTTCTCTAGCCTCAGCGCTTTCCCAGCCTCCTCCCCTGCCATCTTTATTAATAGCAGCAGCTTCCCAATACTAGCGAAAGTGTGGGCAGTGCCTGCCCTCACTCTAGGGCAGAGGACAGCAGGGTTCCAGAGGCTCCTCCACTTTCCTCGGGCAGCTTTAGCCTTTTCCAACTCTTGAAGGGGTGAGGGAGTGGCTTCTCGCTCCATCCCCCACACTTCCTTTAAGAAACCAGAGGCCTCTCCTGGCACAAAACCCCAGAGCTAGCCCATCAGATTGCAAACTAATTATACAGCAAATTTTGTTATCCCCGCCCTCAGCCTGCGGTGGCCCTCCTGCCTTTTGTTGGTTGTAGATGTATGTTTTTTAATTGCTAAACAGTGACTCATTTGGGCTGTTTCCCACCACCACCACAGGAAACAGCCCCCATCTACCATCATGTCCGGCTCAGAGCTTCCTCATACCCCACTGGCCTCACAAGCCTCCCGGGGGCCCCCACCCAAAAACACTCCCAGCCCGACCAAAGCCAACCTCGCCCCCATGATATCACACCCAAGCCCCAAGCTGGGGCTTCGAAAAGGCTCAGTCTCAGGCCAAGCCTGGTGACTCAACCCTGAGAGCCAGAAGACCCGGGAGGGACGGACCTCGGAGGAGCCCCCTCCACTGAAGGGGAAGGGAAGAGGGCTCCGTCCAGCTCCCAAACCAAGCTCGGAGGCCCGAGGGGGAAGGCGGTTTTGACATTGGCCGCTGCTGCAGGGTGTATACAATGGGAGGGGGTGCGGTTCTGTAATCACCCAGCCGGCAGCCCAGGGGAGCCAGCTGCCTGAAACCAGATTTCAAGGCGGCTCAACCTTAAACCCACAGGATTCTTTTTCCGTCTTCCACCTCCCCTACCCAAATGTGGGAGGGCTGAGCTGGAAGGGAAGGGCCCAGGGTGAGGAAGACACATACTTTAAGGTTTGTTCATGCACTCTCGGGCAACACACACACGCACACATACACACACACGCACGCACAGATGGCAGCCTCTCCCACCCAGAGCGTCTGCACTGACTAATTCGCAGAGCTGACACTGTCCGGTGCCTCCTCCGGCTGCCTCGGCCTTGTCTAGGGGGGAGATACTGGAGTTCTGCTCACCCTCCGGAAGCTCCCCCCACCCCCAATGTGTTTCCAATAGAGCTTAAAACTAACATGGCTGCTTTTGTTTACTTCCTCATTGGTATGCCAGCCTCATGGATCATGTCAGCCACAGCAGCGGCACCAGGACACTCATTACATAAACAGCAGCTGGAGAAGCAGGACCGGGGTCACTGCTTTGGTGACTTCCCGTAGGGCTTAAACAGTGTTGGGGGAGGGTGCTGCGCCAAACAGAAAAGCAACCCCCAAACTCTGACAACCCCCCCACCCCCGACACCCCACGCACCCACGCCAGTTCCATAAAGGACTCGAACACAGGTGCGGGAATGTATCCCAGCAGCGATCTGGGGCCCTTCTTTCCAGGATCTTACCTGCCCCCCCACCCCAAACTTTCAGAGAAGAGTTTGGAAAGGGGGCCTTTCTAGCCTGATGTCACACCACTCAGCCTATTAAGATGAATGGTTTGCTAGGCGAGAGGAAGTGTGTGTGTGTGTGCGTGTGTGTGTGTGCGCGCGCACGCGTGCCTGCGTGCGAGGTACTTGCCCGGATCTCATTCCTCCGGATCTCCACGTCGCACACCGAGTGTCCCTGATGCGCACCGCTGTAGTAGCAGCAGTACTGGCACACGGCCACCTGCTCGGCCTCGCAGTGGTAGAGGCGGTAGGCGTTGTGCTGCGGGCAGCTCCAGGCCCGCACGTCGTCCGCCTCCACCAGGAGGTGCCCGCGGGCGGTGGAGGGCTGCTGCAGGTGCGTCTGCACGTGGGACTGGCAGCAGGGCGCCTCGCAGCGCAGGCAGACCTTCTGCGCGGGCAGCGGGGGGCCGCGGCGGCAGAACACGCAGTGCAGCGCCGCCGGCGGCTTCTCCACGTGCAGGGCGTTGAACTTCTCCACGATGTTGGTGAGCTTCAGGTTCTTCTCCAGCCCCGGCTTCTGGTTGTAGGCCTGATTGCACTCCGGGCAGCGCACCAGGCCGCTGTCCTTGGCCCACGCTTCGCCGATGCAGCCCCGACAAAAGTTGTGTTTGCACGGCAGCTGCACGGGCTCCACGAAGACGTGCAGGCAGATGGGGCAGATGAGCTCCTCCTCGAAGCAGTTCTTCCAATTCTCCGCCATGGCGGCTGCGGCCAGGGGGCCCGGGCAGGCCTCCCCAACTCCCCAACCCTGGGGGTCCGTCCGGTGCAGCTGTGGGCCCACAGAGGCCGGAGCTCCGGCTCCCAGCGGCCCCGACAGTCGCTCAATCACCAGCGTCTTCCGCGTGCCCGCCCCCCGGAGGAAGGAGCCTCGGTCCTCGCGCCGCGCGCGCCGCCGTCGGCGTCTCCTCCTCCTCCCGAGCGCTTAGCGGGAGGCGGCGGACTGCGCCAGGGCCGCGGCTGGGGCACCGGCCCTGGAGGGGAGCGCTGGGCTCCAAATTCCATATAAGAGGCCGCTTCCTCCGTCGGTGCGGCTACGGCAGCTGCGGCCCACAGCCTGCGCTCGGCCCCGCGGCGGACATAGGGGCGCGCCCCGAGGCGGACGGAGCCGGGGAGCCGCACACTACTTCCTCTAACGACGGCCGCGGCGAATAATGGCTCCCGCCTGGCTCGGTGACGCCGTGCCTCACTCGCCTGGCCTATGGCCGAGGTCCGAGGGGCCCGTGAAGCGAGTGCGATCGTAGCAGATGGCTGCTAGAGGCTGACGGTGCGGAGCAGGCTAGCCGGCTGTCTCTAGGCCGGGGGGGGGAGAAAACAAGACCCCCACTGGCCGGCCGGGTGCGGGTTGCGGGGCGCGGGCGGGCCGACTCCGGGGCGCTGCGTGAGCGCTGGGGCAGTCATTCAGATGAAATTCCAGTCCCCGGCCAGAGACACCAGCCCGCCTCTGCCTTCCTCCTCCCTTCACAAATAGAAACGGAAGGGGGAGGGAGAGAAGTGGAAAAAAAAAAAAGCAACCAGAAAAGGAGGGAGGGGGGAAGGGAGGGAGAGAAGGAGGGAGAAGCCCCGGAGGTGCTCCGGCCTGACCCCCTCGTAGCTACTTCTGCGCTCCCGTAGGACCCGCGGCGAGCCGGGCGCCCCAAGCCGCGGAAAGACCCCACTCTCCGTCTCCGCGCTGGGCGGGCGCCGCGGCTCTGCCGAGGAAAACAAGGATTGATCAAACTAGAAAGGAATTTTTCTCAACTGCTAATGAACGGGAGGCTCGGCGGCCGGCCTCCCCTCCCCCCGCCGGCCCTCCCCCTCCGCCCCCTCCCCCCCCACTTTCTTTTCTTCTCGGCCTCTGCTCCGGCCTGGAAGGCTCCGGGCTGCGGTCGGAGCCAGCCTGCGGCGGCGGGGCTGGGCCAAGCTGCCTCCTCACAGCCCAGCCATCTTGCTTGGGCTCCTGGCGGCGGCGGCGGCGGCCGGGGGTCCGGGCGCGCGCACTCGAGGGTCCTGGAGGTTGTTTTTTTTTTTTTCCTGGTGGGATTTTTTTTCTGTCTCTCTCTCTCAAAGGAGAGGGCTAGTGGCCTCCAGCAAATTAGAAGAAGGGGGGAGAAAATGCCAAGTCCTGATTTCTCTCCACCTCTGCTCCACCCACCCTAGTCTTTTCCAAAAAAATAAAAAGATTAGAATTGGAAGAAGTCGGCAGCAAGGCGAGCGGCCCGCGGCCCCCCCCCACCCCACCCCGGCTGCTGCCCAGGAGACGCGTCCGGGGCGGGCCCCGCACCGGTCGCTCCGTCCGTGAGTCCGTTTGTCCGCCTCCAGCTTCTCCGGTGAAGGGAGGGCGCTCCGGGCAGGGGCTCCGCAGAGGCTGTCGTTTCAGAGCTTTATCCACAGATCAAAAAGAAGAGAGAGAGAAAAAAAAGGAAGAAACCATCCCCCCCCCACACCCGAACACTCATCACAGCCACCTTCAGCCATCTTGCGCGCATTATTTCAGGAATAATCTGTTTAATAAAAATAGCTGCGTCTCTAGCCCCGTTCCCCGCATCCTGGGGCCCGCCCCCTTTTAATAATAATCTCGATAATAAAAATGATCGGTGGGCCGGGCAGTGGGAAGCTGCCTTTTCCTGCCTCAGCTCCCCTTCCTCACAGGAAGGGGTGGGGGGGCTCGCCCCGGGGGTGCGTTCCTGCGGCCCGCCGGCCTGCCCCGCAGCCGCCGCAGGGAGGGACGGGCACCCTCGCCGCGGCCGCCAACGAGGCGGGCGAGGGAGGACGAGGCCCGTGGGACCGGCCGGAGGGGCACACTGGGGTCCTCGGTGCCCCGCCGCGGCCCAACGTACAATGGGTGTCGAGGCTAGTCCTAGTGTCAAGGTGGAGACCTGGGAGGACAGAGGACTGTAGGGAGCCGGGCTTTGGGACCTGGGTGGGTAGAAGTGGGGGGAGGGGGTTGTGTCCCTGCATCAAGGCCTGTCCCACTACTCGAGAGGGGGGCAGGGAGGCCGGGGTGGGGGGGGCGAGGAGAAAGCGGCAGGCGGCGCCTTTAATCAGCACCCGCTGGTTCAGCCCACCGGGCACAGGCGAAATAAACGGGCGAGGGGGAGGGGAAGGGGGCGAGGCGTATTTTCCGGAAGTGCTGTTACAGCTGCTGAGGCGCCAGGCCCCTCCCTTCCCCCCGCCCGGTCTGGAATTGGGGGCGGTTCCGGAAGCTGCTTATCCCATTGGTCCCCACGCTGAGGCTCCACCTTTTTAAGGCGTGGTGATACCGTGAGCCTCACGTGACTTGCACTAACTTCGCTACATTAAACATTGGGTGTGTGGCTGGGGGGGGGGTTCTACGTTTCTTAAAAGGGCGATGATGCCATTCCTTAGTGAGTGAGAATCGTCTTCCTAGCCCTCATCACCCGTAGCTGTTTTTACTTGAGAGGATAAAAAGGGTTTGCCAATCTGCTGGTCAATCCGGTAGAAAATGAGCTGGGAATTGTAGGGTTTACTGTGGGGCAATTTCTCCCATGTCCTTAATATTTTCCCCCACATCCCTGAGACTTGAAACTAGATAGCTAGGCATAACTATGCCTTTTCTGTGAATAAGGAAACTGAGACTTAAAGATCTGAAGTAACCTCCTGAGGTCAATTGGTTGGTCAATAAACATTCTGTGTAACAAAAGACTTAATGTGCATGGCATCTTTGTAGGCTTGAGGATTTCCTGGCACACATACAATATATGTATTTAGAGATATGTGTATATGTACTGTATATGTACATGTGTGTAGAATTATTTATCTGAGAGTAAAAGGGCATACACACAAGAATCGCTGAAAAAGTGACACTTGAGCTGAGACCTGAATGCATAGGAGGAATCAGGCAACCTGGGAAGAGTGCTCTCATCAGAAGGTAAAACAAATGCAAAAGCAATGCAACTGGACTTTTCCAGGGCAGAATGCTGCTTTGTGGAAAGGAGAAATACACGAAGGGGCCAGAGCACCCAGGGCAGAACAGGCCAAAATAAGTAATTTGGACTTCAAGTTGGCAGTGAGCAGCTGTCAGAATCCCTATATATTTAGAAAGCAGCACCAACAAAACTAAACTGTTGGAATCCATGCAATAATCATAGGGGTAGGATGATAGAAATATACTTCCAGCTGTGTGCTAGTGGCTCATACCTGTAATCCTAGCTATTCAGGAGGCTGAGAATCATAGTCTGAAGCCAGCCTGGACTGAGACTCTTTGTATTTTTTTTTTTTTTTTGCCAGTCCTGGGCCTTGAACTCAGGGCCTGGGCACTGTCCTTGAGCTGCTATTTGCTCAAGGTTGGCACTCTACCACTTGAACCACAATGCCATTTCTGGCTTTTTCTCCGTATGTGGTGTTGAGGAATTGAACCCAGGGCCTCATGGATGCGAGGCAAGCACTCCACCACTGAGCCACATTCCCAGCCCGGTGAGACTCTTATTTCCAATTAACTACAAAAACAAACAAAACAAAAATGCTAGAAGTGGAGCTGTGGCTCAAGTGGTAGAGTACTAACATTGAACTACATAGCTCAGGCCCTAAGTTCAAGCCCTAGGACTGGCACACAGACACACAGACACACACACACACAACGTACTTCCACTATGTACCATATCTTTCTGAATTGTATTTTATTTTTATTTAATTTTTGTTGGTTGTAATCCTCAGATTTCAGCCTTCTGTATAGCTAGGATTACAAGTGATTACACTGGGCATCCAGCTTTATTTATTTTCCTATCGGTTGTGGGGCTTGAACTCTGGGCCTGTGTGCTGACCCTCAGCTCTTCAGCTCAAGGCAAGCACTCTACCACTTGAGCCACAGCACCACTTCTGGTTTTCTGGTGGTTTATTGTAGATAAGAGTCTCACAGACTTTCCTGCCCAGGCTGGCATTGAACCTTGTTCCTCAAATCTCAGCCTCCTGAGTAGCTAGGATTACAGACATGTGTGAGCCACTGGCACCCAGCCTTGGCTTTTCTTTTTAATTATTTTATTTAGTTATTTATTCATTTATTTTTTTTGTCGGTCGTGGGCCTGGGTGCTGTCCCTCAGCTCTGCCACTTGAGCCACAGTGCCACTTCCGCTTTTTTGTTTATGTGGTGCTGAGGAATCAAATCCAGGGCCTTATACATGCGAGACAAGCACTCTACCACTGAGCCACCTTCCCAGCCCCAAATATTTCTTTATAAGTTTTTTTTTTTTTTTTTTGGTAGGTCCTGAGGCTTGAACTCTGGGCCTGGGTACTGTCCCTCAGCTCTTCAGTTCAAGCCAAGTGCTCTACCACTTAAGGCACAGCACTACTTCCTCTTTTTAAAATATTTTTGAGACAATAACCCATACTGACCTGGAGCTTGAGATCTTCCTGCTTCATTTTTTTTTCTTTTTTTTTGGGGGGGGGGTCTGGTCGTGGGGCCTGAACTCTGGGCCTGGGCCACAACGCCACTTCCAGCTTTTTTCTTTTTGCTTATGTGGTTCTGAGAAATCGAACCCAGTGCCTCAGGCATGCAAGGCAAGTGCTCTACCAGTGAGCCACCTTCCCAGCCCCTTCATTTCTTTTTCTTTATTGATAGTAGGGAACCAAGCCAAGGCTTTTTTTTTTTTTTGGCCAGTCCTGGGATTTGAACTCAGGGCTTGTGGCACTGTCCCTAAGTGTTTTGCTCAAGGCTAGTGCTCTACCACTTGAGCCACAATGCCACTTCTGGCTTTTTCTGTTTATGTGGTACTGAGGAATTAAACCCAGGGCTTCATGCATGCTAGGCAAGCAGTCTATCACTAAGCCACATTCCCAGCCTAAGCCAGGGCTTTGAACTTGCAAAATCCTAGCCCATAGGAGAGGGTGTTATTAGAATTAAAGCAATGGTTTCTTGTGTTTTGTTTTCGGGGGAGGAGCAGCTTTGGGGTTTAAATTCAGGACCTCACACTTGCTAAGCTGGCTGTCTACCACTTTAGCTATACTCCCAGGCCTAAGTTTGTCTCTCTGTCTTTGTCTATCTGTCTCTCTCTCTCTTTCTTCCCCTTTCTTTCTTTCTTTTTCTCTTTCTTTCTTTTGCCAGTCCTGAGGCTTGAACTCAGGGCCTGGGCACTGTCCCTGAGCTTCTTTTGCACTAGGCTAGCACTCTATCACTTGAGCCACAGCACCACTTCAAGCTTTTTACTGTTTATGTGGTACTGAGGAATTGACCCCAGACTTCATGCATGCAGGGCAAACCTTCTACCACTGAGCCACCTTCCCAGCCCCCATCCTAAGTTTCTTAATGAATGTATTTGTACATGAGGTATAGTCTGATAATTTGTATAATGTATATAGGATATATAGGATGTATAATGACCAATACACACACACACACACACACACACGTTATTTTTTGTCAGTTGTGGAGTTTGAACTCAGGGCTTGGGCACTGTTTCTGAGCTCTTTGGCTCAAGGCTAGTGCTCTGCCACTTCTAGTTTTTGAGTGGTTAATTGGATATAAAAGTCTCATGTGGACTTTTCTGCCGGGGCTGGTTTTGAACCACAATCCTCAGATCTCAGCCTCCTACGTAACAGTAACAATAATTACAGGCATGAGCCATAGGTGCCCGGTGACCAAAATATTTTTAAATGACTCATCAAATTTGAGCCTCAATAAGAGGCCAGTTGGGAGTGCCATTTACTAAGGGGAGAATTGAAGATTCAATTTGGGTGGTAGTTTCTAAGTTAAGTTGGCTCCTATATCCCAACAGAAATGTTAAGGAGACAATTGTATCTACAGCTCAGTGGGGAAGTATGTAATGGAGATATGGATTT